CCCTGAACCCTACGCCCTAAACCCCAAACCCCTAAGCCCTAAACCGCAAAGCCTAAACCCTTCAAGCAGGAAGCTGACATAAAGTCTTTAAGAGCGGGGTCGGAATAGGTGGTAACTGCAGCGGTCACACCTTCTAAGCAGTCCGTAAGCAGCTATACGCTGGTTTGGGTTTAGGGTTTAGGGTATACTTCAACAGCCCCCAGCACCCTCTTCTAATGCTTCAGGCCCCTATACCAAACCTTTACAGAAACCCTTATACTAGTAGCTGAGGCGTCCTTTTCAAGCGCCCTCAACCCTCAACACTCTCTAGCAATGCATATTCAAACCCTGACACACTTTTTCAAACATTTGCCCCAAAATGTTGGGCCACTTTTTCGAACATCTGGACCGGCGTTGAGCCATTTTCAACCGTCTGGCACCAATGTTGAGGCACTTTTTCAAACATTAGGACCGGTGTTGAGGCATTTTTTCAAACATCTGGACTGGTGTTGAGCCGTTTTTCAAACATCAGGACCGGTGTTGAGGCACTTTTTCAAAAATCTGGACCGGCGTTGAGGCACTTTTTTCAAAAATCTGGACTAGTGATGAGCCATTTTCAAAAATCAGGACCGGTGTTGAGCCACTTTTTCAAAGATCAAGACCAGTGTTCCCTAAACCCTAAACCTGAACCCTAAACCCCAAACCCTAAACCGTAGTGTTGAGGGCTCAGGTCTGGCTTCAGGGTTTAGGACTTAGGATTTATGTTCAAGGCCGTGAGCTGGCTTTAGGATTTAGGGTTTAGGGCTTTAGGGTTTAGGATTTAGGCTTTAGGGCTCTAGGGGTTTAGGGTTTAGGGTTTAGGGTTTAGGGTTTAGGGGATAGGGTTTATAGGGTTTATAGGGTTTAGGGGTTTAGGGTTTAGGATTTAGGATTTAGGATTTAGGGCTCAGGGCCGCGGGCTGCTTTTAGGTTTTAGGTTTTTGTTCCCAGTGTTACGGGATTCTAAGGGTGGGTAGGTTTTTCCATATTCTAACTAGCGAGCTCGACTAGATACTGCTGGACCAGAGCTGCTGAACCCTAAACCCTAAACCCTATTTAAACCCTAGATGCCCTATCCTTCAAGAGACCCTCAGCCCTCAACCACTCAGAGCTCAGAGGGTGCTACTTGGAGGGTCATGGGTAGTTATAAGTAGGGTTATAAGTAGGGTAACTATAATTATAACACATATTGGGGGACTTATAACCCCACTTATAACTACCCATGAACCTCCAAGTAGAGCAGCTTCAGGGCGATTAGGGCCTACCTGGACACCATCGAGACTCCCTTTTCAAAGGGCTTATATACGGAAATCATCTTAAGGAGGTTTAGGGTTTAGGGTTTACCCCAAACGGCACTTAGGGTTTACCCAAAACCCTAAACCCTGAACATCGGGTTTCAGCGATCGCAGGAAAGACTTCAAGCTCCGGCCAACAGCAGATAAGGCCCAGCAGTGCGGAGAGGGCCAGGGAGGTCTTTTTGCTGGCTTGGGTTCAGGGTTTGGGGTTTAGGGTTTCGGGTCAGGAGTCACGAGATTTTGGGGCTTTTCATAGGGTTGAGGGTTGAAGGTGTTTAACTGTTTTTCTGCTCGTGATGTTGGGCTTGTCTGGTCGGTCTTTCCTCTTGGGTTAAGGACCCTAAACTATGGGAATTATGGTATATTGTTCATTATGGGTCATGCAGTCATGCAGGATTTGTATCATCAACCGT